CGGTAAAAGGGAACCGACTCGTCAAACGTGATGTCCTGAGAGGGCAGGACACGGCGCGTGGTGGGGTGGTAAAACTGCCAGCCAGGCGCGTCAGGGGGAAAGCCAAGGAAGACACAGGGAATGGCACGGGAGGAGAGCTTGTCCGCGGAGGTATCGCGGACAAAGGCACGAGAGCCCCAGACCCGGAACACCGACGCATCGCCAACCTCCCCCGTCCAACGCAGTGTAGGCGAGGTCTCCGACAAGGAGACACGGGGCCAGAGGTTGAGCTGATGCGCAGCGTACCGGACCGCAAACGGCCACAGAAAATGGGGAGCAGCCGCATGGATCATGGAGGTACGAGCGACCTCCATGACTAAGCCAATGCGGCGCTCAGCAACCCCATTCTGCTGCGGAGAGGCCGGAAGCGTGAACGACTGGCGGATGCCCTACCCACGACAAAAGTCCCGCAAGAGGTCGGAGGCGAACTCACCACCTCTGTCAGAGTGCAGACGCAGGACAGGAAGGTCCGCGTGGAACCGCTCGCGGAGCTGGAGACGGACAGCGCGGATCCAAGGGATCAAAACATCAGGGACCTCCCCCTTGCTGCGCAAGGAAAAGACCGTGGTGTAACGCGAGTAGTCGTCAACAACCAGCAGAAAGTATCGCTCGCGGCCCTGTCCACGGACGCGGGCGGGGCCCCACACGTCCATGTGGAGAGTCTGCAGGGGAGCAGTCGTCGGGGGAAACGAGGAGGAGTGAGGAGCGGCACGCTGCCGCCCCTCGACACAGGGAAGGCAGGGAGGGGCAGGCGAGGGTGGGAAGGGAGGCAGAGACCTAAGAAGACCAGAGACAAGGAGGCGGGAGTGCATGCCACGGAGGCGTGGCAGGGAGGGGTGACCAAGGCGGTGGTGCCAAAGGAGAGTCTGGTGTGACAGGAGGCGATACGAGCAGGGGGCTGCTAGCTGACCTGACGCGGACGCAGACGCAGCTATCTGAGGAGGCTTAGTAGTCAGTGTGTACAGGCTCGAACCAGGCCGACGGGTGAACGTGGCCAGGTGACGGCCCGTCCGTGTACACGTGCAGATCGACACACGCTGACCCCCAGGAGTGGTGGTAGTGACCATCGCATCCTGCAGGGCATCGGTACTCACCAAGTTCGTAGAGAACGAGGGGAGGTGAAGACATGAGAGTGAGCCGGACGGGACCGCCGGACACGGGAGAACAGTGGAGGAACGGGCAAGAACTGGGCCCCCTGAGGGGTCAGCCAGTCTGACTGCAACAGGTGCAGGGAGTGGTGTGACTGTGGTACTGTCGCGAAAGAAACAGCGGGAAGCACCGGAGTCAAGCGTGAAGGTGTGCAAGGCCTCAGCAGGCGCAGTACCAGGGAGAGCAGACTCACTAGCACCTAGAGCAGCAGCCTCTATACCTGGGTCGGGCGGCACACACAGGTAACAGTCACCCTCAGCACTAACAGTTAAGGCATACATGGCAGCAAGGATAGCGTCATAATCAAGAGCAAAGATATCCACACCCTGCCTAAGCAGCTCTAGCCAGCGGGGGAGCTCAGTCGCGTCGGGAAACTCTGCGCGCCAGGCGTCGTCAAGACGGGAGAAGCAGCGGGACTGTGTGTGACCAACCTTCCCGCATGTTTGACCAGCGCGGTCACATGTGCGAACGACTTACTGGGAGCGAACACTACCCCCAGACGCCCCACGCTGAGCAAACCACTCACGAAGCTCCTGGGGCATAGGGGTCTCACGCTGACGCTGCTGCTGCTGCCTCTGACCACCGCCAGAGCCTCCCCTCTGACCGGGTCCACCCCGACCGCCACCACTGCCGCCGCCACCACTCCCACTGCAGCCACCACTGCCGCCGCCACCACTCCCACTGCCGCCACCACCGTCGCCACCAACGCCTCCACTCCCACCACCACTCCCTCCGCCACCACCGCCACCTCCACTGCCTCCACCGCCTCCACCACCGCCTCCACCGCTGCCACCCCCACCACCCTTGCCTCCCTTGCCCCTGCCGTTGCGGCGCCTCCTACTAGGAGCAGAAGCAGCCCCGACCTCCTCAGCACGAAGGAAGTCAACAGCAGCAGCAGAAGCGTAGGAGGGGGCAAGGGGGGAGGGGGAACACCCCTCAAAGAAGGGAGTGCGAGGAGTGCCACGAGCAGCACCTACAGCGACTATGCTAGCCTCAGCTGCAAGGAGGTGCTTCTCGAGTAGGTCGACAGTGAGGTCCGTGGGGTCCATGGCGAGAAAGAGGTCCCTGACTGCGCTAAGAGAGTCAGGGAGGCGGGTGACGATGAAGTAGAGAGCGATGTACATGGGGGGAGGGTTCTTGTCTAGAAACTTGGTGGGAAGCGCGGCGTGGTAGCGAGTGTCACTAGTGCGAAGGTGGGTGACTAGGTCGTCGACTGTGGCAAAGGCGGACAGCTCGGGAAAAATGTAGGGCAGTATAAGGCGGCCGAGAGCAGCATTGGCAGGGGAGGAGTAACGAGCGACTACAGCGTCGTACAGGGCTTTAACAGTCTTGTGCTGGCCAAATGAGCGCGTTCGGCTGACGGTAGGTGGTTGCGAGCGGCTAGGAGAGCAGCAGCGTCACAAGTAAGCCACTGTGAGCGAGTCGCACTGTCAGCTGTGTCGAGAGGGGCGAGAGAGGCTCCAGACGTGTGGTCAAACAACGAAACGCCGTCTCGAGAATCGCTCAGTAGGAACAGCTGTAAGTCATCGAGCCACGTATCGAACTGGATCGGACGGCCCTCAGGATCGAATGTGAGGACGCTGAGAGTAGCCATAGCGGGCAGAGCAGGGTGGCGCGCAAGCAGCAGGCAGCACACAAGCAAGGACGGCGCGACGGGCAGGGCGGCGCGCAAGCGCTAGGGAAGCGCACAGGGCAGGGCGGGGCGGCGCACGGCTAGGGCAGGGCGGCGCAACTTGCAAGGCAGGGCGGCGGCCAGCAGGGCGGCACGCGGGCAGGGCAGGGCAGGGCGGCGGCCAGCAGGGCGGCGCGCGGACAGGGCAGGGCAGGGCGGCGCGCGGGCAGGGCAGGGCGGTGCGGCGGCCAGCAGGGCGGCGCGCAGGCAGGGCAGGGCGGTGCGGCGGCCAGCAGGGCGGAGCGCAGGCAGGGCAGGGCGACGCGGCGGCCAGCAGGGCGGCGCGCGGGCAGGGCAGGGCGGCGCGGCGCTGGCAGGGCAGCGCGACGGGCAGGGGAGGCCGGCGCGCGACCAGCAGGGTGGCGCGACGGGCAGGGTAGGGCGGCGCGGCACTAGCAGGGCAGCACGACTGGCAGGGGAGGGCGGCGCGCGACCAGCAGGGCGGCGTGACGGGCAGGGTAGGGCGACGCGGCGCTAGCAGGGCGGCGCGACGGGCAGGGCAGAGCAGCGCGGCCAGCAGGGCGGCGCGCGGGCAGGGAAGGGCAGCGCGAGGCCAGCAGGGCGGCGCGGCGGGCAGGGGAAGGCAGCGCGCGGCCAGCAGGGCGGCGCGCAGGCGGGGCAGGACAGCGCGACTGGTGGGGTAGCGCGACGGGCCCAAAAAAAACGGTCCTGGAACAGGACCTGCTCTGAAACCATGTTAGAATACTGAACGAGAATGAATGCATTGAGTAGGAAGTTGGTACAAGTACTAACCCTAATTGGGTTGTACCCCTTATGGGCTACCCCACTACAGCCTACACAACATAAACAATATAACAGTTTGACACTTCGACATAGTTTTTTTTGGGTAATTTTCGGGGTTTTCAGTAGTGTGATTCTCGCCACCGCCAACATTTTCGACCGTGCAGCTGCTAAACGTTTGCCGGGGTTCATAACACTTGGTATCTGTTCTACCCTCGGGGTACAGGGTGGGTGTAGTTTCGTCCCCGCGCAGCTGTAAACAGCTTGGTGGGCAATATTCTCAAAGGGCACTGTATTCCCTTGACACTCTCTGACATTTTCGTCAGACTCAGACTGCACGGACGCTCGCGATTGACTCATTGACATCACCGACACCGACATATGACATCGTGTCAGATTCCCGCCAACATCGCCATCGTCATTACCGTACGATCGCAACCCGCTTCATCAACGACTCACGTTCCTTCGCAAATTCAACTCGACTTTTCGATTCCAACCGCCCGATCGACATCGGCAATATCAACGGCTGACATTCCAACTATTTGAATTTCGCCTGGTCAACCCGCCCAGCCACGCGTCAACGCTTCGTTACACCGTCAGACCAGTTTCCACCTAAGATCTGCAGTTTTCACGCTACTGCAAGACTCGGCTACGTATAAGGAGGCCTTATCTAGAAGGTGGGAGAGTGTAATGAATGTAGATATTCGTTACTGAGTCTGCTCCTAGGGCGTACAGCCCCGAGCACTTCGTGTCAGTTTTCGGTTTGGCCTACACTTCGGCCCGAACCACAGCCGAGTCGCTCCGCACCAATCGCGACACATCCAACCCTCGCACGTCACGAGGTTCTCGCCTAGCACGTATTTGCCCTATAAATGCTCGTTCCTTTAATCTATTCGTCATTCTATAAAGTCCGCGCACTCTGTTTAGTACAACTCATAATAGGGACAGTCCAAAGTTGCAAAAAATCAAATCGTACGGTCCAGTCCTCGATAATAGGACCCTCCGCTTCTATGTAGGACCCTAAATTTTGAAATGCAAAATGGTTACACACCCTAAGCTACGATGCGTCAATAGAGGTACGTCTTGCTCCAGCCTGCATTATTCACGCCAGGGCGCGAGCCGCCAATAACGACCACTTTCCCGATAAACTTACGGAGGAAGGGACTACAAAGCGCCGCTCCCCCTCCTTGCTTCCTCCTCTCCGCACACCACTCTCTGCCACTCGCAGTCGTGAGGAGCTGGCCTCCGCGGCCGTCGCGGCTGGAGCCGCTCGCCTCGTTGCGGATCGCGGCGTGCGACGAACGCACGATAGCTGCTGCTGGCGTCGCCATCACTCGCTTCGCCTGCTGGAATTCTCAGCCTCTTTCCTCGCGCGACCTCGGTCATTGACGACGGCGTCTCAGCGACGTCGCGCGGGCGATGGGAGGAGTGAGGGGGTCGCCTTGAAGCCATGAGAGTGAGTCGCCTTGAAGCCATGAGAGTGAGTCGCCTTGAAGCCATGAGAGTGAGTCGCCTTGAAGCCATGAGAGTGAGTCGCCTGGAAGCCATGAGAGTGAGTCGCCTGGAAGCCATGAGAGTGAGTCGCCTTGAAGCCATGAGAGTGAGTCGCCTGGAAGCCATGAGAGTGAGTCGCCTTGAAGCCATGAGAGTGAGTCGCCTTGAAGCCATGAGAGTGAGTCGCCTTGAAGCCATGAGAGTGAGTCGCCTTGAAGCCATGAGAGTGAGTCGCCTTGAAGCCATGAGAGTGAGTCGCCTTGAAGCCATGAGAGTGAGTCGCCTTGAAGCCATGAGAGTGAGTCGCCTTGAAGCCATGAGAGTGAGTCGCCTTGAAGCCATGAGAGTGAGTCGCCTGGAAGCCATGAGAGTGAGTCGCCTGGAAGCCATGAGAGTGAGTCGCCTTGAAGCCATGAGAGTGAGTCGCCTTGAAGCCATGAGAGTGAGTCGCCTTAAAGCCATGAGAGTGAGTCGCCTTGAAGCCATGAGAGTGAGTCGCCTTGAAGCCATGAGAGTGAGTCGCCTTGAAGCCATGAGAGTGAGTCGCCTTGAAGCCATGAGAGTGAGTCGCCTTGAAGCCATGAGAGTGAGTCGCCTTGAAGCCATGAGAGTGAGTCGCCTTGAAGCCATGAGAGTGAGTCGCCTTGAAGCCATGAGAGTGAGTCGCCTTGAAGCCATGAGAGTGAGTCGCCTTGAAGCCATGAGAGTGAGTCGCCTTGAAGCCATGAGAGTGAGTCGCCTGGAAGCCATGAGAGTGAGTCGCCTGGAAGCCATGAGAGTGAGTCGCCTTGAAGCCATGAGAGTGAGTCGCCTTGAAGCCATGAGAGTGAGTCGCCTTGAAGCCATGAGAGTGAGTCGCCTGGAAGCCATGAGAGTGAGTCGCCTTGAAGCCATGAGAGTGAGTCGCCTTGAAGCCATGAGAGTGAGTCGCCTTGAAGCCATGAGAGTGAGTCGCCTTGAAGCCATGAGAGTGAGTCGCCTTGAAGCCATGAGAGTGAGTCGCCTTGAAGCCATGAGAGTGAGTCGCCTTGAAGCCATGAGAGTGAGTCGCCTTGAAGCCATGAGAGTGAGTCGCCTGGAAGCCATGAGAGTGAGTCGCCTTGAAGCCATGAGAGTGAGTCGCCTTGAAGCCATGAGAGTGAGTCGCCTTGAAGCCATGAGAGTGAGTCGCCTGGAAGCCATGAGAGTGAGTCGCCTTGAAGCCATGAGAGTGAGTCGCCTTGAAGCCATGAGAGTGAGTCGCCTTGAAGCCATGAGAGTGAGTCGCCTTGAAGCCATGAGAGTGAGTCGCCTGGAAGCCATGAGAGTGAGTCGCCTTGAAGCCATGAGAGTGAGTCGCCTTGAAGCCATGAGAGTGAGTCGCCTTGAAGCCATGAGAGTGAGTCGCCTTGAAGCCATGAGAGTGTGTCGCCTTGAAGCCATGAGAGTGAGTCGCCTTGAAGCCATGAGAGTGAGTCGCCTTGAAGCCATGAGAGTGAGTCGCCTTGAAGCCATGAGAGTGAGTCGCCTTGAAGCCATGAGAGTGAGTCGCCTGGAAGCCATGAGAGTGAGTCGCCTTGAAGCCATGAGAGTGAGTCGCCTTGAAGCCATGAGAGTGAGTCGCCTTGAAGCCATGAGAGTGAGTCGCCTTGAAGCCATGAGAGTGAGTCGCCTTGAAGCCATGAGAGTGAGTCGCCTTGAAGCCATGAGAGTGAGTCGCCTTGAAGCCATGAGAGTGAGTCGCCTTGAAGCCATGAGAGTGAGTCGCCTGGAAGCCATGAGAGTGAGTCGCCTGGAAGCCATGAGAGTGAGTCGCCTTGAAGCCATGAGAGTGAGTCGCCTTGAAGCCATGAGAGTGAGTCGCCTTGAAGCCATGAGAGTGAGTCGCCTTGAAGCCATGAGAGTGAGTCGCCTTGAAGCCATGAGAGTGAGTCGCCTGGAAGCCATGAGAGTGAGTCGCCTTGAAGCCATGAGAGTGAGTCGCCTGGAAGCCATGAGAGTGAGTCGCCTTGAAGCCATGAGAGTGAGTCGCCTTGAAGCCATGAGAGTGAGTCGCCTTGAAGCCATGAGAGTGAGTCGCCTTGAAGCCATGAGAGTGAGTCGCCTTGAAGCCATGAGAGTGAGTCGCCTGGAAGCCATGAGAGTGAGTCGCCTTGAAGCCATGAGAGTGAGTCGCCTTGAAGCCATGAGAGTGAGTCGCCTTGAAGCCATGAGAGTGAGTCGACTTGAAGCCATGAGAGTGAGTCGCCTTGAAGCCATGAGAGTGAGTCGCCTGGAAGCCATGAGAGTGAGTCGCCTGGAAGCCATGAGAGTGAGTCGCCTTGAAGCCATGAGAGTGAGTCGCCTTGAAGCCATGAGAGTGAGTCGCCTTGAAGCCATGAGAGTGAGTCGCCTTGAAGCCATGAGAGTGAGTCGCCTTGAAGCCATGAGAGTGAGTCGCCTTGAAGCCATGAGAGTGAGTCGCCTTGAAGACATGAGAGTGAGTCGCCTGGAAGCCATGAGAGTGAGTCGCCTTGAAGCCATGAGAGTGAGTCGCCTTGAAGCCATGAGAGTGAGTCGCCTTGAAGCCATGAGAGTGAGTCGCCTTGAAGCCATGAGAGTGAGTCGCCTTGAAGCCATGAGAGTGAGTCGCCTTGAAGCCATGAGAGTGAGTCGCCTTGAAGCCATGAGAGTGAGTCGCCTTGAAGCCATGAGAGTGAGTCGCCTTGAAGCCATGAGAGTGAGTCGCCTGGAAGCCATGAGAGTGAGTCGCCTTGAAGCCATGAGAGTGAGTCGCCTTGAAGCCATGAGAGTGAGTCGCCTTGAAGCCATGAGAGTGAGTCGCCTGGAAGCCATGAGAGTGAGTCGCCTTGAAGCCATGAGAGTGAGTCGCCTTGAAGCCATGAGAGTGAGTCGCCTTGAAGCCATGAGAGTGAGTCGCCTTGAAGCCATGAGAGTGAGTCGCCTTGAAGCCATGAGAGTGAGTCGCCTTGAAGCCATGAGAGTGAGTCGCCTTGAAGCCATGAGAGTGAGTCGCCTTGAAGCCATGAGAGTGAGTCGCCTTGAAGCCATGAGAGTGAGTCGCCTTGAAGCCATGAGAGTGAGTCGCCTTGAAGCCATGAGAGTGAGTCGCCTGGAAGCCATGAGAGTGAGTCGCCTTGAAGCCATGAGAGTGAGTCGCCTTGAAGCCATGAGAGTGAGTCGCCTTGAAGCCATGAGAGTGAGTCGCCTGGAAGCCATGAGAGTGAGTCGCCTTGAAGCCATGAGAGTGAGTCGCCTTGAAGCCATGAGAGTGAGTCGCCTTGAAGCCATGAGAGTGAGTCGCCTTGAAGCCATGAGAGTGAGTCGCCTTGAAGCCATGAGAGTGAGTCGCCTTGAAGCCATGAGAGTGAGTCGCCTTGAAGCCATGAGAGTGAGTCGCCTTGAAGCCATGAGAGTGAGTCGCCTTGAAGCCATGAGAGTGAGTCGCCTTGAAGCCATGAGAGTGAGTCGCCTTGAAGCCATGAGAGTGAGTCGCCTTGAAGCCATGAGAGTGAGTCGCCTTGAAGCCATGAGAGTGAGTCGCCTTGAAGCCATGAGAGTGAGTCGCCTTGAAGCCATGAGAGTGAGTCGCCTTGAAGCCATGAGAGTGAGTCGCCTTGAAGCCATGAGAGTGAGTCGCCTTGAAGCCATGAGAGTGAGTCGCCTTGAAGCCATGAGAGTGAGTCGCCTTGAAGCCATGAGAGTGAGTCGCCTTGAAGCCATGAGAGTGAGTCGCCTTGAAGCCATGAGAGTGAGTCGCCTTGAAGCCATGAGAGTGAGTCGCCTTGAAGCCATGAGAGTGAGTCGCCTTGAAGCCATGAGAGTGAGTCGCCTTGAAGCCATGAGAGTGAGTCGCCTTGAAGCCATGAGAGTGAGTCGCCTTGAAGCCATGAGAGTGAGTCGCCTTGAAGCCATGAGAGTGAGTCGCCTTGAAGCCATGAGAGTGAGTCGCCTTGAAGCCATGAGAGTGAGTCGCCTTGAAGCCATGAGAGTGAGTCGCCTTGAAGCCATGAGAGTGAGTCGCCTTGAAGCCATGAGAGTGAGTCGCCTTGAAGCCATGAGAGTGAGTCGCCTTGAAGCCATGAGAGTGAGTCACCTTGAAGCCATGAGAGTGAGTCGCCTTGAAGCCATGAGAGTGAGTCGCCTTGAAGCCATGAGAGTGAGTCGCCTTGAAGCCATGAGAGTGAGTCGCCTTGAAGCCATGAGAGTGAGTCGCCTTGAAGCCATGAGAGTGAGTCGCCTTGAAGCCATGAGAGTGAGTCGCCTTGAAGCCATGAGAGTGAGTCGCCTTGAAGCCATGAGAGTGAGTCGCCTTGAAGCCATGAGAGTGAGTCGCCTTGAAGCCATGAGAGTGAGTCGCCTTGAAGCCATGAGAGTGAGTCGCCTTGAAGCCATGAGAGTGAGTCGCCTTGAAGCCATGAGAGTGAGTCGCCTTGAAGCCATGAGAGTGAGTCGCCTTGAAGCCATGAGAGTGAGTCGCCTTGAAGCCATGAGAGTGAGTCGCCTTGAAGCCGTGAGAGTGAGTCGCCTTGAAGCCGTGAGAGTGAGTCGCCTTGAAGCCATGAGAGTGAGTCGCCTTGAAGCCATGAGAGTGAGTCGCCTTGAAGCCATGAGAGTGAGTCGCCTTGAAGCCATGAGAGTGAGTCGCCTTGAATCCATGAGAGTGAGTCGCGTTGAAGCCATGAGAGTGAGTCGTCTTGAAGCCATGAGAGTGAGTCGCCTTGAAGCCATGAGAGTGAGTCGCCTTGAAGCCATGAGAGTGAGTCGCCTGGAAGCCATGAGAGTGAGTCGCCTTGAAGCCATGAGAGTGAGTCGCCTTGAAGCCATGAGAGTGAGTCGCCTTGAAGCCATGAGAGTGAGTCGCCTTGAAGCCATGAGAGTGAGTCGCCTTGAAGCCATGAGAGTGAGTCGCCTTGAAGCCATGAGAGTGAGTCGCCTTGAAGCCATGAGAGTGAGTCGCCTTGAAGCCATGAGAGTGAGTCGCCTTGAAGCCATGAGAGTGAGTCGCCTTGAAGCCATGAGAGTGAGTCGCCTTGAAGCCATGAGAGTGAGTCGCCTTGAAGCCATGAGAGTGAGTCGCCTTGAAGCCATGAGAGTGAGTCGCCTTGAAGCCATGAGAGTGAGTCGCCTTGAAGCCATGAGAGTGAGTCGCCTTGGAGCCATGAGAGTGAGTCCCAAACCAGGTTCGGCCTGGTTGATCGGCTGGTTCGGTCTGGTTCGGCCAGGGCCGAGCCAGGTTCGGCTGTTGCTCAACCCTAATAGTTCGCAATGGGAGCTTCCCCAAGTCACAGAGCTGTGGGTTCTGCATGGCAGATTGTCTAGGATGAGAATTTGTGTAACACCTGCGAGCACTATTCAACACCACAACAGTACATGCATCCATTATTTATGCTTCGTGGTACTGCCATCTCCCCTGCGGCCATGCCCCGTGTGCCCCCATGGCAGTACCAGGGCATTCCGCCACTCTCCGCCCCCCTGGAGGCATTCCTTCGCCCCTTCACTGACGCCCGCGATGCCGGCCCACTCATTCTCAGGTGATGCCGGCCCGCTCATTCTCAGGTGATGCCGGCCCGCTCATTCTCAGGTGATGCCGGCCCGCTCATTCTCAGGTGATGCCGGCCCGCTCATTCTCAGGTGATGCCGGCCCGCTCATTCTCAGGTGATGCCGGCCCGCTCATTCTCAGGTGATGCCGGCCCGCTCATTCTCAGGTGATGCCGGCCCGCTCATTCTCAGGTGATGCCGGCCCGCTCATTCTCAGGTGATGCCGGCCCGCTCATTCTCAGGTGATGCCGGCCCGCTCATTCTCAGGTGAGTTGCAGGTGACTGCGGCTTTGGTGTTTTGCATTCGGCTGAGGTCTTCTTCGTATGGCTGCTCTACGATGCCTCCATTCTGCTCTACGATGCCTCCATTCTGCTCTACGATGCCTCCATTCTGCTCTACGATGCCTCCATTCTGCTCTACGATGCCTCCATTCTGCTCTACGATGCCTCCATTCTGCTCTACGATGCCTCCATTCTGCTCTACGATGCCTCCATTCTGCTCTACGATGCCTCCATTCTGCTCTACGATGCCTCCATTCTGCTCTACGATGCCTCCATTCTGCTCTACGATGCCTCCATTCTGCTCTACGATGCCTCCATTCTGCTCTACGATGCCTCCATTCTGCTCTACGATGCCTCCATTCTGCTCTACGATGCCTCCATTCTGCTCTACGATGCCTCCATTCTGCTCTACGATGCCTCCATTCTGCTCTACGATGCCTCCATTCTGCTCTACGATGCCTCCATTCTGCTCTACGATGCCTCCATTCTGCTCTACGATGCCTCCATTCTGCTCTACGATGCCTCCATTCTGCTCTACGATGCCTCCATTCTGCTCTACGATGCCTCCATTCTGCTCTACGATGCCTCCATTCTGCTCTACGATGCCTCCATTCTGCTCTACGATGCCTCCATTCTGCTCTACGATGCCTCCATTCTTGCAGTTCGGTCAGACGCCCCCCAAAGGCCAACCGCATCTGTCTCCTCATCCTCCCCCCCCCCCCATGCCCTCCTTTTCCCACTCACCACTCATTCCTCGCTCTCACACCCTCATCCTCGTTCGCTCCCCCCACCCCTCTCCCCATCCCCCCTACCCCCTCCCCCCTCCACACTCCCCCCTTCCCCTCTCCCCCTTCCTGTCGGCAGCCACTTCTCTCTGCTGCTCGCCTGCATGCTGCCTCTCTCCCTCACCCCGCCCGCCTTCCTCTCCTGCTCGCACTCGCCAATCCAAGCCTGCCACGTGGCACCCTTTGCGGGGCTGCTCAGTGTTGGCATCGGGGATACCATGGTGGGTCACCGGCAGGGGGGGTGAATGGAGCCAGGAGCAGGGAAGCAGGGAGTGGGGCAAGGGGGAGTGGGAAGTTGGGAGTGGGCCAGGCGGGAGTGGGAAGTGGGGAGTGGGGCAGGGGGGAGAGGGGCAGGGGAGAGTGGGGCAAGGGGGGGCGGGGCAGGGGGGAGTGGGACAACGCTGTGTGTCCTTTCCCTACCCTTTGTTGGTTTGACTGCCCACACTCTTTGCCCACCCGTCATCCCGGCCTTTCCCTTCACGCTCCCCTCTGCTGAATCTTTTCTGCTGTGTGCCCCTCACACCCATTCCTCCTCTCGTTGCGCCATTCCCATGCCTTCACCTCTCCGACGCCCCTTCCCCCCTGCCCCACGGCCCTGCCCCTTCCCCCCTGCCCCACGGCCCTGCCCCTTCCCCCCTGCCCCACGGCCCTGCCCCTTCCCCCCTGCCCCACGGCCCTGCCCCTTCCCCCCTGCCCCACGGCCCTGCCCCACGGGCCTGCCGCTGGGTGCAGGCGTCGGTGGTGGGGGTGCGGTGGGGGCGGCACAGAGTGGCATCAGACTCGCCCAAGTCGTGGGAGGGCACAGCCGCCGCTGCTGCCGCCATGCTCGCCGCCTCGCTGCTGCTGCTCGCCCTGCTGCCGCCTCCCCTTGCACCCGCCCATGCTGCCTCTGCTGCTGCGCTTCACCAATCGCTGTTCTCCAATCTACTACAGGTAGTCACGCCTCGCTCCCTTTCTGTTGCCTTACTTCTCAGAGCACGGGTCCTTGAGTCCCCCTGCACAGCACCAAACCCTTCGCCTTGTCCCCCCACCAGGCGCCCATGGCAGCGAGCGTGGTGGCGTGTGTCTTCTCTGCGCTGCTGGAGGCGTTCACTCACCAGCTCGACAACGCCTTCATCCCCCTCCTGCACTTCGCCCTCTCTAGCCCCCTCTGCGCCTTAACACATGGCTATCATTTGCTTGTTTGTACGGTATCACAACAGGCCCAATTTATCAGTACGTATACGGTAAGCCAATTTCTGGCTCTGTAAATTCAGAATAACTATCGTAACCACACCGAGGAATCAATTTAGTGGTGTATTGTGAACCCTGTCTCAGAAGTAGAATTAACGGAATGTCTGAACTAGAAAGTGGATGGGGTACAAATGTGCAAACCTAAAAGCTGTACCCCCTAGAAGGCACCCCACTACAGCGTAACATTGTTATTACACTTTGACACACCCCCATAGGCTAAGTGAGGGGCATCAAGGAAACGAACAAGTGACAGCAAATGGTCACAAGACCAGTCAAGACAAGAAACACAACAAAGCTCAGGGTGGATCTCAAGATCACCACGCAGTCCGAGCACAAATACCGCAAGGGGCCACAAGGCCAGTTCTCAGAGATCACAAGAATATATAAATGCAAGTACAACAGTAGAGCAAGCAAGAGACAAAGCTACAGCAACCGAGGGCCTGCCTCAACAAGTCCTAACTGCACACAGAATCTGTGGTGGTCACCAGGCGCCAAGGCCTTGGTGAAGACGTCGGCAGTGTTGGCCTCTGAGGCCACAAAGTCCAAGCGTGCCTGGCCGCGTCGCTGCAACTCTCGCAGGAGAAAGTACCTGACGTTAATGTATTTCACTCTGCTCTCCAGTCGAGTCTCTCGACACAGGAGGATCATGGCCTTGTTGTCAGCAAACAAGGTCGGTGCAAAGCGAGGCCCCTCACCAAGGTCGGTGAGCAAAAAGGTCAACTAGCGAAGCTTCTGCGCAACCATGGCACCAGCGTAGATCTCTGCCTCTGCACTGGACGAAGCCACAGACAACCACCGTGTAGACCTCCACGACACAACTCTAGCACCCAGAATGAAGCAGTAACCCTGAGTCGAGCGCTGAGTCTCCACGGCGTTGGCGTAGGAAGAGTCACAGTGACCGGTCAACACAACTGGCTCTGTCCCTCCACGCGCAAGCCCAATGCCTGATGTAGTCGACAGGTACTTCGCCACCCTCACAGCAGCCGTTCAGTGAACAGGATGGTGTCTCCCAGTCGCAACAAAACGAGAGAGGACGCTGAGGGGAAAGGCGAGGTCCGGTCGAGTACAAGTCATCAGGTACATGAGGCAGCCCACAAGCTCTGCGTAGGGACCACTGGACTCAAAGGGCTCGTCGGGAAAAGGGCCAGCGAGTCTGAGGTCAACGGCAAGAGGAGTGGGCTGTGTTGTGGAGAACTAAAACCCGAACCGCCGAAGGACCTTCTCCACCATGTGTGAGTGCGTAGTGATGGTGCGAGCGGCTCTGTCGCTGGTGATCTGCAGGCCAAGGTAGCGCTGCAGTTCACCAAAGTCATTGCACGTGTGTCTCTTCTGCAATGGACTTCACCTCAACCAGAGCTGCCCTGTCTGCTATAGCAGGCCAAGTCGTCGACGTAGACAAGTATAAAGAAAGGAGTGGAGCCAGCGGGAACTAACAGCGACAGGTCGGCAGAAGAAGGACAAAACCCAAGGTCACGAAGCGTGGAGCGAAGTGTGTCGTGCCACTCACAGGGCGACTGGTAGAGACCGTAGACTGGTCGCCTCAGGCTCCACTGGGTCCTAGGTGGGAAAGTGTCAGTGAAGCCAGGAGGACGTCGCAGCCAGATTCCCTCTTGCAGACGGCCCTCTTGTAGAAACGCAGTGGAGAAGTCAAGGCAGTGCAGCTCGTAGTCTCGCTGTGTTGCAACGTAAGTAACACCCAAAGAGTACCCATCTTCGGGGTCGGGGCGAAGGTCTGGAAGAAGTCAACACCCTCGCGCTGACTGAATCCCCTAGCCACGTAGCGCGCTTGAACACAGACGGTGATCCAGGCGGTCGCTTCACCTTGAAGAGCCACATGCCATCGACTACGTTCGCCATGGGAGGGGGAAATGCGTCGACGTAAGTGCCTGTGGATCTCCAAGACGCCATCTCTGAGTCCATGGCCGCTTTCCACTGAGAGGCCCACTCCCCTGACACTGCCTCACGGTGTGCGAGGAGTCGGTATGTCAAGGGCATGGCACAGAGAGAGGGAGAAGCGGCTGCCAAGAACTCCAGCTCAAACTGCCTGTCCTCTAGGACGTCACAGCCAAGGGCAAACTCACCCCCGGCGGACAGAGGACGGGCAGGCGGAGCAGCCACAACACGCGTGGCGAAGTCAAGGTGGCGGGTGGAAGCAAAGTCAGCGACAGCTGCAATAAGAGCCGAGACAGACGACGGAGAGGCACGAGGGTCGGTGACAAGAGAGGCGAGAACATGCGAGACAACAGGACGAGCATGACGGTAGTAGTCAGTGATAGGGTGAGAGGAGACAGTGAGATACGACGCATGAGGTGGTGGGAGAACAGACACATGCGGAGCACGATGAGGACTAGAAAGAAACAAGACAGTGTGGAGGTCGTCAAAAGGAGACGAAGGACGAGCACGAGAAGGACAACGAGCGGTCCAGTCGTGCGAGAGAACAGGAGGAGACGACCGTGACTGAGGAGGAGAGAAAACAGCCGGAGCCGAGTCCGGAGGAGGAAACGTAGGACAGTACGCGGTAGGAGGCTAGGAGTGGACAGGAGGAGCGGAGGGAAGACCAAGGGCCCGAAGGCAATTCACTGGTGGGAACAGCTGCTGCAAAAGTGGCGGCTGCGGCGACTGCTGCTGCTGATGCTAGTGCTGCAGCTGCAGCTGCTGCTGCAGCTCCTGCTGCTGCAGCTGCGGCTGCTGCTCATGCTGCTCCTGCTGGTCCAACTGCCGTAGCTCCTGCCTCTCCTGCTCCAACCGCTCCTCCTCCTCGCGCTCAACCCGGCGAAGAGCCTGGAGATGCGTGTTGTAGCGGTGGGGAGGCGCAGTGGGCGCCGCAGTAGTCGTGCCTCCAGCACCAGTCTCCTCAGTACTAGCACCTCCAGTGCCAGCGCCTCCGGCACCTCCAGCTCCAGCACCCCCAGAATTAGCACCTCCAGTGCCAGCACCTCCAGCTCCAGCACCCCCATAACTAGCACCTCCAGTGCCAGCACCTCCAGCTCCAACACCCCCAGAATTTTCACCTCCAGTGCCAGCACCTCCAGCTCCAGCACCCCCAGAACTAGCACCTCCAGTGGTAGCACCTCCAGCTCCAGCACCCCTCGAACGAGCACCCCCAAACCGGGTACCTCCAGTGGCAGCACCTCCAGCTCCAACACCACCTGAGTCTACAGTAACCTGTCGCGGAAGTGCCGAAAGCTGCTAAGGGGACTGTGAGGAGGGCTGCGGGGAGGGAGACGCTACCTGAGGCGCGACCAAGGGTAGAGGGGTAGCGTGAGACACACCTGACGGGGCAGGACCAGGGGGGGGCGGGGGTACCGGACGAGCGGGAGCAGGAGGAGGAGAGGGTGCGAGGAAAAGAGGAGGAGGGGGGACCGGGAGACCTCGATAGGGGTACCGGGTGTAGTAGGACACGGACTCGTCAAACCGGACGTCACGGGAGTCGAAGAAACTGTGGAGGGGCGGGTGGTAAAACGAAAAGTCAGGAGAGTCCACCGGGAAACCAAGGAAGATACAGGGGATGGCGCAAGCCGAGAGCTTATCCGCAAAGGTGTTGCGGACAAGCGCAAGGCAGCCCCAGACGTGAAACTCCGACGCAACACCAGGTGACCCAGTCCAAAGACTGGTCGGTGAATCCTCTGATCGTGAGACACGAGGCCAGAGGTTCAGCTGGTGGGCGACGTAGCGAACCGCGTCGGGCCACAGAAAATGAGGCGCACGGGCATGGATCATGGAGGTGCGGGCGATCTCCATGACCAAGCCAATGCGGCGCTCAGCAAACCCCATTCTGCTGTGGGGGCTCCGAAAGCGTTAAGGACTGTGTGATGCACTGTTCGCCGCAGAACCCGGCGAGTACGTCGGAGCGGAACTCACCCCCACGGTCGAAGTTGAGACAACGGACACGACTACCACGGATGCCCTCAGTGGCCGAAAGCCACCGGATCAGCGTAGAAGTCACATCGGACTTCTTCTCGAGAGGAAACATCGTGGTGTACCTGGAGAAGTCGTCAACGACCACGAGGAAGTAGCGCTCCCGCTCAGGCCCAAGACGAGGGGCTGGGCCCCAGACGTCCAAGTGGAGTGTCTGGAAGGGAGCGGTGGCCGGGCGAAGGGAGGAGGAGTGAGGAGTGGCGCGCAGCCGACCCTCGATGCAAGGAGAGCACGACGGCGCAGGCGAACGGGGGAACGACTCAAAGACCCGCGGGAGACCTGAGACGAGACGCTGGCTGGCCATACTAAGGAGGCGTGGGAGGGAGGGGTGGCCTAGACGGTGGTGCCACAAGACTATCGGGTGAGAGAGTGACCGAGAAGAGCAAGACGCAGCAACCAGACCGGACACAACAACCTGACTGGACACAGCAACCTGAGGGTACGCAGTAACCTGACCGGACTCTGCTACTTGGGGAGACGCAGTGTGCAGAACGAAGAGACCTGAGTTGGGCTCCCTGGTGAACGTGGCAAGAAGTGCCCCGGTGGAAGTGTCCATAGAGATCGCCGTCCTCCCGTGCGCAGGAAAAGTGACTGTGATCCCACGGTCCTGCAGGTATCCAACACCCACCAAGTTCCGAGAGAACGAGGGGATGTAGAGACCAGTGAGGAAACCAAAAAGGACTGTTGGTGCAACCCTACGGTTTGCACTCGGCTTGTTGTCCGTGCGCGTGCATGCATGTGTGCATGGAATGGTATGAGGGCATGAGATTATATATATTTCATGCTTATAATAGTGTGTGAATGATGAGTCATGATGTCGAATATGTGTCGGGTCAATAGCGAGTTATCGCTAGTCGCGTGTCACGCGGTCGTTTGTGTCTCGTGCGCGGTTTCTATTTTGTCGTGTGTGGAACGTTCGGCGTGCCGCATATGTATGCAGCAGACCCATCAAGAACTCAAGGATGAGTTTATGATGAAGAACCAGAGCCTTGG